GAATCATTTAGTGACCCAATGATTAACTGATTCGTGTTTCGAAAAGCTCCGTTTCACCCATCACTGTGTGCTTTTTTAAAATCAATAAAATGAATTTTGATCTGGTTTTTGCTAGTGAATCGCTTGAACTGAATGATCGAAGTCACGAGTTTGAATCAACCGGAGCGGTTCCAGTGTAAATGACTCACTCAAAAGATTCGGTTCGTCTGTTCCTCCGCTTTTCGGTTCTTCAGCTGTTTACACGACACTCAGCACTACTACTGGCTTAGCTCGCTAGGTTTATAACATTAATGATGTTTACCAATAAATATCCATATTTCACTTGTATCAGATTGTATTAATTCGTCAATATAGAGTGATAGCCAATGTAAAAAGAGCAAATGTGAGCAGCAGATTTTATTTAGATTTATGCTTTTATTTGTAATAATTATTATTTTCTGTTTGTTTAACACAGGAACTTTAAAAGAACTTCACTGATGTCCTATTATACTGCCAATAAATGTAGAACGTGTAGGGATAGTACCGGTAAGCGTTATAAATTAAAATAAATAGCCTAAAGTTGTAAATAAATTGTTTACTTATTTCATAATAACTGGCATAACAGTGAATGTTTTTTTTGTGATATGATGCCACCTTCTGAAATAATAAGCAAATTGCAGATCAAAGTCAGTGCAACGTGATGCTAAATTAATAATTTAAGGTATTTACCTTTAAAAACATTTGGTCAGAATAATATACGGCATAATTATATAACATAGTTACATTATAACTAACAATAAGAATGAGTAAGATGCTCCAGGAAATAATTAGATATTAAATACACGTTGATTATCAGTTCTGTTCTCGACCTTTTGTTATAAAACGTAAAAATAGACTGAACATTTTTATAACTAAACGTTATTTCTTTGTATAACTAACTAACTAACTAATTAATTAACTAACTAAACTAACTAAATAAATAAATAAATAAAGTTAAATAGAAATTCCCCATTGTTGACTTCGCACAGTGGAAGTTTGTTCCCATAGTAACTGACGTGTCATCCAGAAAGCGGAAGCGGAAGCGGAAGCGCGTTGCCTTCGACCGAAGTTTGTTTAGGCTGTTGGCTAAAAACATCACAACTTCAGCCGCTTGCCTTGGTTTTTATGAAACAATAGTAACATTAGTCGACTTTATTCTAGTTTAAAGTGAAAGTGCTAGTCGTGCTGAACAAAAGCAGGTGGTAATGGGGGGAACTTCGAGCAAATTACCCAAAGATCTTCTGTCAGAGTATCAGGTGAGACGGACACATATGTAATATTATTTAAATATATGTTCATTTATTGAACATTTATTCTTTATTCTATATGGCAAGGAGTTGCTTTTATGTATAATTTTTAATTTTTTGCTTACACAGGAGCTCACCTTTCTCACAAAGCAAGAAATCCTGCTGTAAGTACAGTCATGATGTATTTAAACTTAATATGCACACATTTTCAAAATGTCTTCTGTTATGTTTTGGTGTGCGTAAGTTTTAATTGTGAATTGACAGTACAGTTTCGCTTGTTTCTTATTAGTTTGAGGAATAGCGATAAAACTCGACAGGCTCGTTTAGCTGATTTATTGCAGTGTTATTTTATTAGTTATATACTGTTATAGTATCTATAGATATTTTGAATTCGCTCTTATACATTTTTTGATTATAATTTTTATTTGAAGAAGTGCTTTGTCATTTTATTCGTTTTGTAATATTTCTATTTACCTTTAATTTATTTTTATTTCATTATTTTATTTTAGTATTTGTAGTACTTAAACTTATTTTATTTGCAATTCAACATTTAAAATTTCTATTTAGCTTTAATTTATTTTTATTTCAGTATTTTATTTTAGTATTTGTAGTACTTAAACTTATTTTATTTGCAATTCAACATTTAAAATTTCTATTTAGCTTTAATTTATTTTTATTTCAGTATTTTATTTTAGTATTTGTAGTATTTAACTTATTTTATTTGCAATTCAACATTTACATTTCTATTTAGCTTTAATTTTTTTTTTCAGTTTTAGTTTTACATTTACATTACATTTTAGTTTTCATATTTGTAGTACTTTAACTTATTTTATTTGCAGTTCAACATTTTAAATATTTCTATTTAGCTTTATTTTTATTTCAGTTTTAGTTTGGTCATTGCAGTACTTCAACCAATTCAACATTTCTAATTTTCGTTTTAAGTTTTTCATCTAACATTAATAAATTACAACAACCAACAATTAATTTTAATATACATTTTTTTATATTATTTTTATTACTGCCTTTTCACATGTACATCTTCTCTACCATGGCACATTTTGACTGGGCATTCCCTGTGAAGTGGATTTGTTGTTGTGACAATAGCTAAACTACACAAATGTACAGTAGTTTAGTTACTGAAAGTGTATTCTATACGGTGGCTGAGAAGTGCAAAGCAGATCACAATTCTGAAAACAAAATAACAAATTACAAACGCAAATGCAAGTCTAAAAAACAAAATAACAATTCAGAAAGCACAACAACAATTCAGAAAACATTATAACAAGTCAGAAAACACAACGACAAATCAGACAAACCAGAAGAGGTAGGTATAGTTTGAGACAGCACCATTGGTTTGGGATTACTCACCGCTGACTGGACGAGACATCTGTCAATCAACGTATACAGGAAGAACCAGCCGAAGAACAGCAGAGTCGTGGTAGAAAGTTCGGAGATGGTATTAAAGTAGCTCAGTTTAAATGTATTGTATGAATTGCCCTTACTCTGGAATAAAAAATACGGGGTGTCTATTTACATTTAGTTAAAAGTCCTCTTCTGGTTTGTCTGATTTGTCGTTGTGTTTTCTGACTTGTTATAATGTTTTCTGAATTGTTGTTTTGCTTTCTGAATTGTTATTTTGTTTTTTAGACTTGCATTTGCGTTTGTAATTTGTTATTTTGTTTTCAGAATTGTGATCTGGTTTGCACTTCTCGGCCACCGTAATTCTAACTAATACTTAAAATGTTTGAATGTCATTGCATTATAGACTTTTGGGGCTCATCATCAATGTGTTTGTTTAGGGCACACAAAATATTCTCTGAACTCCAGGGCAGAGAAAATGGACCGTACAGCTCCAGGGTGTCCATGGAGAAGGTCCTCACACTTCCTGAACTAAAGGTAACACATAAAGTCTGTACTGCAGTCACAATGCAATATAACATCTTATAATCCTTCCAGATTTACCCATTCGGCTGTATATATTCTGTGTTTTTGTTGGTTGTCACAGTCTAACCCCTTCCAGAAAAGGCTATGTCACGTCTTCTCGACCTCTGACATGAAGGATGGCAGCTTGAGCTTTGAGGATTTTCTGGACCTCTTGAGTGCCTTCAGTGATTCGGCGACTCTGGAAATCAAGGCACACTACGCTTTCCGAATCTTTGGTAATAGATGGATTGCTCTCAATATTGACATTTAACAGTAGCAAATACCACTCAATATAAACAGTTCTTATGCTGCAGACTTTGATGATGACGGGACCCTTGATGCTAGAGACCTGGAGAAGCTGGTGAACTGTCTGACCGGTGAGACGGACGACACCCGTCTGACTGCAGAGGAGATGAGACAGCTCATAAGCAATGTGAGTGTGGTGGATGTACATCACATTAATGACAGACATCTGCCAGATGAACTTTACTAATGTAAACAAACGTCACTGTACAGATCCTCGAGGAGTCAGACATTGATAAGGACGGGACAGTCAATCTCTCTGAATTTCAGCATGTCATCTCCAGATCTCCAGATTTTGTCAGGTGACAGAATTTTGCTTTTTATTTAAAAAGGGAAAAACTGGACAGTTGACATATTTTGCTGCCTTCAGTCTAATTAAGCTGTAATTGGAAAATATATATATGTAATGTGTGACCCTGGAGCACAAAAGCAGTGTCAAGTCGCTGGGGTATATTTGTAGCAATAGCCAACAATACATTGTATGGGTCAAAATTATAGATTTTTCTTTTATGCCAAAAATCATTAGGATATTAAGTAAAGATCATGTTCCATGAAGATATTTAGTAAATTTCCTACCGTAAATATATCAAAACTTAATTTTTGATTAGTAATATGCATTGCTAAGAACTTCATTCGGACAACTTTAAAGAAAAATTGGCCTTATGACTGGTTTTGTGCTCCAGGGTCACACACACACACACACACATATATATATACACACACACCACACACACACACAAAAAGTTTTCATTTTAGCTTGTTTTTTGTAATTTCGTTTTGTGCTTTTGGCATTTTTCTTAGTAGTTCACATTCTAATAATATTTGTTCATTTTTAAAATCTATATAGCTTTATTTATTAATTTAATTAAAAAAGTTATTTAGTTTCTAATTGTAGTACGTCAACTTGACAGACACATTTAGCTGATTATGCAGTTATTTTAATGTGTGTCTATATATATATATATATATATCAAACAGTATTTATTAATTTTGTGAATTAGCTTTTATTTTTTCAGTTTTCATTCTAGTTTAAGTTTTAGTAATTTTTATTATTTCTCTTTATATTTCTATATAGGTTTATTAATTAATTTCATTATTAAATTATTTTATTTCAGTTTTAGTAATTGAATTTATTGTATTATAATTATTATTATTATTATTTTCTACTTTAAGGTAGTTGCCAAGGCAACATTTCTAATTTTTTCACTGACTGAGAATGTTCTTTTGCAGTTCATTCAAGATTGTGTTGTGAAGTTTACACAGAACGGAAGCTGTTTTCCGGTCCAGAATTTTCACCTGTGCCTTTGGTCTGTCAATAATGTAGCGACCTAATTGTGAATGTATATTCTTGTTCAGTATTTCTGCAATTTATATGTTTAAAAACATTTGACTTACTCTGTTAAAAGAAAATAAATCTACTTTATATCCTGTATTTTGAATCATATATTTGTACCTAATTTAATAAACTCTAATTCTGTGACTTTGACATCGCTGTATTTATATGTCTATTCAGTGTCATACAGAGTCTATTCCTGTCGGGATGGAGGTTGTTCTTTTGGCACAGCAGACACAAAAGTGTTCCATAAGCCACAGACAACATCCTTAACACACATTCGATGGCTAGCGAAGTAATCCACCAGTGTTGGCTCATCTGTGCTATTTTCAGTGCCATGTCCCAGTTGTCCATAATGGCCTAATAATGTGACACAGACAGAGAAAAGGCAACTTTTAGCACTTTTTTTTTAATAATTAACATATTCAAACTTTCAAAAATGTGGGGTCAGTATGTTGCACAAAAGTGTTCCATAAGCCACAGACAACATCCTTAACACACATTCAATGGCTAGCAAAGTAATCAACCAGTGTTGGCTCATCTGTGCTATTTTCAGTGCCATGTCCTAGTTGTCCATAATGGCCTAATAATGTGACACAGACAGAGAAAAGGCAACTTTTAGCACTTTTTTTTTAATAATTAACATATTCAAACTTTCAAAAATGTGGGGTCAGTATGTTGTTTTTTAAAGAGAGAAATTAAAAGCAGAGTTCACCCAAAAATGAAAATTTGCTGAGAATGTGCTCACCTTCAGGCCATCCAAGATGAAGATGAGTTTGGACTTTTTCACTGGAGGACATTATGGACTCATATTCTGGCCAGAAGCAATGGTTTAAAGTTAAAACGTCTTAATGATAGATTTGTTTCAGCTTTTGTCTTCTCCAGATGTTAACTGCTGGAGTGGATTATTGTGAAGTTTTTATCAGCTGTTTGGACTCTCATTCTGACGGCACCCATTCACATCCATTGGTGAGCAAGTGATGCAATGCTACATTTCTCCAAATCTGATGAAGAAACAAACTCATCTACATCTTGGATGGCCTGAGGGTGAGCACATTTTCATTTTTGGGTGGACTATTCCTTTAATGCACATATTCAGCAACGACACAAATTAAATCCAGCCTTGCTGAGCACTAGAGACCGTTTGCATTGATTTATTTCTATAAAACGAAGCAAACTCTTACCCCATCCCCAAGTGTACAGATCCCCTGTACCTACAAATAAATAAGAATGAGTTCATTTAATCATTTATGTCAACTAGTGTATTCTTGAGTCCAGTTTAAGCTCCAGTGATCAGATCTGGATCTCACCGCTGACGGCTGCTGTATGACGCGATCCACAGCTGATCCTGCTGATCTCTAACACATCAGGGACGTCCACCAGAGCAGGGAACGCTTGAACAGAAATAAACACATCCGCTTGCTTCTTTTCATCTTCATTTATGGGCTGCTCAGTGTTTCCTGCACAGTAAGGTAAACATGTAGCTGTGTAGTAATACATTCATATGTAAAGTCATATATGTGACCCTGTACCACAAAAACAGTCTTACGTGTCAATTGTTAGGATAGGACAATATTTGGCTGAAATACAACTATTTGAAAATCTGGAATCTGAGGGTGCAAAAAAATCTAAATATTGAGAAAATCATCTTTAAAGTTGTCCAAATGAAGTTCTTAGCAATGCATATTACTAATCAAAAATTAAGTTTTGATATATTTACGGTAGGAAATTTACTAAATATCTTCATGGAACATGATCTTTACTTAATATCCTAATGATTTTTGGCATAAAAGAAAAATCTATACAATGTATTGTTGGCTATTGCTACAAATATACCCCAGCGACTTAAGACTGCTTTTGTGCTGCAGGGACACATATAGTCTTTTTACCACAGCTTTTTCCTCTGAGCTTTTCCTCCTCCAGGCCTCTAGAGGGCAGACCGAGCTGCCCGCTCTCATTCCATCCCCACATATACAGGTCGCCACCAGCTAAACACCATAAACATATTTCATATGAACACTGTATATTAGTACGGCTGAGTTTGATCAGGAAAGTTTCAGGAAACCTCTTACTGCTGACGGAAGCGGAGTGCCAGTTCCCAGCAGACACTGCTCTGATCGGGACGCCCCACAGCGCCTCCAGCACCTGAGGTTCCTCCTGTGACGTCAGAGCGCCGTGACCCAGCTGACCGTGACTGACCAATCAAAACATCAGCTTAAAAACACTCTTCAAAAGATGCATAAAGTTTAATGCCTATAGAACTGAATGCTGCCTTTGACAAAACTGTGATGTGGTCTAGAAAAGGCTGTTTTATTTTACATAAAATATTGTAATACAATGAATTTTCACAATAAGCATAAATTAGAGGCAGGACAAAAATACTGCCATGATCTAAATATAAATACTATTTAAATATATATATATATATATATAAATTTTTGCATTACAATAGTTATTTTAGTATTATTTATACACTATTATAGTATTTAATAATATTTTGAATTAGCTTTTATTATTTTCCGTTTTCATTTTAATTTGTAGTGGTTTTAGTAATTTTTATGTGCTTTTCCCATTTTTATTAAATATTTCTAGTTCGCTTAAATTAATTTTATTTCAGTCTTAGTAATTGTAGTATTCAAACGTAAATTTAGTCGTGCTTTTGTAATTTTAATTAGATATTTCTATTTCGCTTTAATTAATTTTTATTTCAGTTTGAGTAATTGTAGTACTTTAATGTAAGCATACTTTATTGCAATTAGTTGCAATGCAAACATTTTTCTTTTCTTTTTAAGTTTAAGTTTTTCATCTTTACAATTTATTTTATTTCAGTTTTGTCAATAACCAAACATGATTTTTAATAGTTTTAGTTTACAATATCAACACTCGCACTAATGAGAATTTCCAATAAATATGCTCGATTGTCATTTTTAAAAAAAAGAATAAAATAAAAATATGCTTAATTTTCTTATATTTATAATCTGAAATATGACCTGTTCTTGACAGGTTTTGTGAGACTCACCCATAAACGCAGATTAGTTCTACAATTAATATAATATTATTTTTGGTAACACTTTAAAATAAGGTCTAACATTAACAAACAATGAGCAATACACTGGTTACAGCATTTATTAATCTTTGTAAATGTTGGTTAATGAAAATAAAACTCATTGTTAGTTCATGCCAGCTCAGGTCTATTAAATAATATTAAAAGATACAACACTTGATTTTATTATTGTATTAGTAAATATTTAAATTAACTAAGATTAATAAATGCTTTAGAAATATTTGAATTGTTAGTTTATGTTAACTAATATTGCTGTAAATGTAATATAGTAATATATACAAATGGAATGTAGTTAACAAATGGAACCTTACTGTAAAGTGTTACACAATTTTTAATGAAAAGATGAACACTGGAATCTTTCTTGTACCTTCCAGATCCCCAGGAGTACACAGTCCTGTCTGCCGTCAGCAGCACCGCGTGTTCAGAGCCCAACGCCAGGCTCACGGCACAGAGTTTAAAGCAGAGAGGACGGAAAAACGGGGGTTTGGGTGTGACGTACCCGCCTGACACCAACGGCAGCGTAACAAGATGTCCTGAATAAATGCATCATATCAATATCATCAGCAGTGTTGGGGGTAACGCATTACAAGTAACGCGAGTTACGTAATCAGATTACTTTTTTCAAGTAACTAGTAAAGTAACGCATTACTTTTTCATTTACAAGAGAATATCTGAGTTACTTTTTCAAATAAGTAACGCAAGTTACTTTTTTTTTTCCAATTTATTGATTGACAGCTCTCCTGTCCCCATGTTGAGAGAAATCAGAAGATGTTACTGTAGTTCTAAAATAAATATGAATATGCATTAATTCATCTCACTCACATTCATATGCAATTTTTTATTTGAAGGCAGCATCAGTGAAAACAGGCATAGCTTTAGCAACATTAGCCTTACAGAGTGCCAAGAAGCTCTTTCAGAAAGGCAATTTGTACTGGCGTGTATGAAAGAATAAAACAGTAAAAATGCAAACTCAAAATATGACACAAACCTGCAATAATTAAATGTTAAACAACACAAATATGCTTTATGTATTTAATCCCATTCTATTTGCTTCTGACCTTCGATGATCCAGTTCAACCGTACTAATAAGCACAAATTACTCTAGACAAACATTTGTGTGTCTTTTTTTATTGCTGAAGTGTGTTGAAATTTCTTCTTCTGCATTCTACTGTACTTTCCCTTCAGCCTGAGGTTTATTCATTTCACATTTGGTGTGAAAAGGCTTTTATGTTTGCCAAAAATAGAACTTTTTTATATTAAAAACAAACAAGCGAGCCCTGTCCAGATTTAAAAAGTAGCGCAAAAGTAACGTAACGCATTACTTTCCATAAAAAGTAACTAAGTAATTAGTTACTTTTTTTTAGGGAGAAACGCAATATTGTAATGCATTACTTTTAAAAGTAACTTTCCCAACACTGGTCATCATACTAGCAACAGATTCACTATGACAACATGATCAGTTACAAAAGTGTTACTTTTAAAAGTAATGCATTACAATATTGCGTTACTCCCTAAAAAAAAGTAACTAATTACGTTACTTAGTTACTTTTTATGGAAAGTAATGCGTTTTGCGTTACTTTTTAAATCTGGACAGGGCTTGCTTGTTCGGTTTTAATATAAAAAGTTATATTTTTGGCAAACATAAAAGCCTTTTCACACCAAAACCCTCAGGCTGAAGGAAATGTAAATTCACGTCTGTACAGTAGAATTCAGAAGAAGAAAGTTCAACACTCTGAAGGAGGAAGTTCAACACTCTTCAGCAATAAAATAAAGAACAAATGTTAGTTTATCTTGAGTCATTTTTGCTTATTAGTATGATTGTACTGGATCATCGAAGGTCAGCAGCAAAGACACTGGTTAATAAAATGGGATTAAATACATAAAAGATATTTGTATTATTTAACATATTTAATTATTGCAGGTTTGCATCATATTCTGAGTTGTTTTTATTAATTTTATTATTTTTGAGGAAAACAATGTTTTGTTTTGTGAGTGAGATGAATTAATGCATGTTCACATGGAAAACAATGTTGGTTTTTTTTTTTTTTTTGTGAGTGAGATGAATTAATGCATGTTCACATTTAGTCTAGAATTAAAGTAACATTTTCCTCCCGATTTCTCTCAACATGGGGACAGGAGAGCTTTCAATCAATTTACTTTACTAGTTACTTGAAAAAATAATCTGATTACGTAACTCGCGTTACCCCCAACACTGCAAATAGTCATCTGTATGTTACCGGTGTTGTCAGAGAGGTCCTGCTCTCTCTTCCACACAAGCTTGTTTTGTGGGTGCTGGATTTCCCAGCATTCCACTCTGTCTGTGAAGTTGAGTGTCAGGTATCTTTCACTGATGAGGGCGTCTGTGCAGCCCAGACTCTCTGGAAAAATGCCTCCGCGAACCTCTGATGAACCAGACACGAACCCTGACACACACACACGACTGCCACCTGAACCCAACATTTACCTGGATTACAGATATATATATATAAATATACATTAAAATATTAAAAAATAGTCCAAATGTATGTTGTTTGTAAAATTAAACAAAATGCATACTGTTTGTAAAAAAAAAATTTTTTTGTATTAACTCATTATACTTTAGAAATAGTAAATGTGACATATTGTAGGAAACAATATAAAACATCTATTTAAAGGACCTAAGATCTGCCTACTGCCGAGATACAACTATTTGCAAATCTGGAATCTGAGGGTGCAAAAAAATCTAAACATTGAGAAAATCATCTCTAAATATACCCCAGCGACTTAAGACTGCTTTTGTGCTGCAGGGTCACATATATATATATATGCATGTAGGTGTATGTATATACTTATGTATGTATGGATTTGTGTTCAGGTGAATCTGTGGGTATCTCACAGATATCTCTTTGAATGATATTTGTAGAATGCTATGTATCCTGTGATTTATTCTTATTTCAGTTATATATTCTATATACAAAGTGTATGTATTTTCCTTCCTCTGTATTTAGCTGTTTTGTTTCTATTTTATTTGGTTGTATTATTTTTATTAACTAATATTGTAAGCTATGTCAATTGAAAAATAATAACATTATAAATGTGACTATATTGTAAAAACATATACTTAAGCAAATCATTATGTTACTCATAGTCTACTTACAGTCTGTGTGATGCACATCAGCTCTGGAGCTCCAGCTGCCTCTGACTCTACAGTCTGATCTGATCATACACGATCTACACATCTCTGATAGCAGGACTGGTGTGTTCACTTTACACTTCACAATCTGTCCGCTCACATCTGCCGGGCTAATCTGACCAAAGCCATTGAAGCCAAAGCCAAACCAATTCATTGAGCTATCCCGCTTTACATAAAGAACTCACGCGTTTACACACAGTTAAATTCCATCAGGAACGCCATGAGCGCTGTCTTCTGTCAAAATAAAATTCACGTTGCGATTAAAAATAAAATACAATCTATAATAAAAGTTTTATGACTGAAATACAGTGCGTTTCATATTATATTATATTATATCATATTATGTTATATTATTTTATATTATATCATAAAACCTGAATCCATTGACCATATACAGAACTTTAATTTTGAAATCCGTCCCGTTTTGTAACCGGAAGCGCGCCACGGTTTCCGGCTTCGCTCTGTTTCCATGGCGGAACTGAGAGCTGCTGTCACTCACGGTGTCCGTTACGACTGTAAATAAAACACAAATACTGTCATTTACACTGATTTCACTCCGCTTACCACAAGATCAACATTGAGGCTTCGGCTTCAGCAGCCTTGGAGCGCCAGGTGAGGGGTTATTGTATTGAAATAAAGCACTTTAATGAAAGTCACCGGCTGTGTGCATGAATTCAGCTTCCAGGTGCAGATTTCAGATTCATCACCTTTAAATGTGTTTAAAATGTGTTTTGTTGTGTTTGAAATGTCTCTTTCATTAAGAACCAGTAGTTTAGGGTCTTTATTTTTACATATACTGAAAATGAGTCTTGGTTTATTGACTTTAGTAAAGGTTTTTGGGAAGAATAGGTGATGTGTGCTAGTGCTGTTAGCCATATCTGATCTGAACCGAATCTGGTTTAATTTCTATTCTGAGTCTGATCTGAATTTATTGTCATGTCTGATTTAATGTCTGTTCTGTCCTGATTCAGAAGATGATTTAATATCAGGTCTTAAACTGATTCTGAGTCTGATCGGGTCCTAATCTGGTTTAATCTGAATCATATCTGGTTTAATATCTCTTCTGTTATGATTCAGAATATGATTTAATATCTGTTCTCAGTCAGAATCTGTCCTATCTGATCCCGAGCCGAATCTGATTGCATTTAAATTCTGAGTCTGATCTGAATCTGCTGTCATATCTGATTTAATGTCTGTTCTCTCCTGATTCAGAATATGATTTAATGTCAGGTCTTAAAATAAATCTGATCGGATCCTAGTCTGATTTCATCTCTATCATATCTGGTTTAATATCTCTTCTGTTCTGATTCGGAATATGATTTAATATCTGTTCTCGGTCAGAATCTGTCATATTTGGTCTGAACCGAATCTGGTTTAATTTCTATTCTGAGTCTGATCTGAATTTATTGTCATGTCTGATTTAATGTCTGTTCTGTCCTGATTCAGAAGATGATTTAATATCAGGTCTTAAACTGATTCTGAGTCTGATCTGAATCTATTCTCATATCTGATGTGATATCTGTTCTGATCTGATTCTTAATCTAATTTAATGTCAGGTCTTAAAATAAATCTGATCGGATCCTAGTCTGATTTCATCTCTATCATATCTGGTTTAATATTTCTTCTGTTCTGATTCGGAATATGATTTAATATCTGTTCTCAGTCAGAATCTGTCATATTTGATCTGAACCGAATCTGGTTTAATTTCTATTCTGAGTCTGATCTGATTTTATTGTCATGTCTGTTCTGTCCTGATTCAGAATATGATTTAATATCAGGTCTTAAACTGATTCTGAGTCTGATCGGGTCCTAATCTGAGTCTGATCTGAATATCTAATTTAATATCTGTTCTGATCTGATTCTCAATCTAATTTAATGTCAGGTCTTAAAATGAATCTGAATTTGATCGAATCCTAATTGGGTTTCATCTGAATCATATCCATATTTAATATCTCTTCTGTTATGATTCAGAATATGATTTAATATCTGTTCTCAGTCAGAATCTGTCATATCTGATCCCGATCCGAATCTGATTGCATTTAAATTCTGAGTCTGATCTGAATCTGCTGTCATATCTGATATGGATATGATTTGACATCGGTTCTGAATCTGATCTTCTGACGTGATGTCTTTTTTCTGCATGTTTTTATGGTTTTTGAGGGCTGTGAACTCCACACCCTTCTTCACAGCCCTGCCCAGGTTTCTAACGGGTTTTTAAATGATGTGATGAGCTGTCTATAAATCTCTGATCTCAATGTCCTGCATGATTAATCAGATTCTTCCCTTTCTTTCTGTAGCCATGGCGTCTCTGTCCGAGGAGGTGTTGTTGGTGGTGAAGAGGGTCCGTCAGAGGAAGCAGGACGGGACTCTGTATCTGATGGCTGAGCGGATCGCCTGGGGTCCGGAAGGGAAGGACCGCTTCACTGTCAGCCACCTGTATGCCGACATCCGCTGTGAGTTTCACTCAGATTGGAGCATCAAATGGAGCAGGGGTGTCAAATTCAGTTCCTGGAGGGCCGGAGCCCTGCAGAGTTTAGATTCAACCCTAATTAAAGTGAAATGCTATTTGAAATGTTTATACACTGAACAAAATTATAAACGCAACACTTTTGTTTTTGCCCCCATTTTTCATGAGCTGAACTCAAAGA